GGGATTGAACAGCGGCAGAGGGAGGGCCCATATCGAGTGGCGCAGTTCCAGCCAAGACACCAGTGACTCTCGCAAGGACGACCGGCCTTGAGCTTGAAGCTTGAAAGCTTATCAGGCGGAGTAGTACTTGGCCAGGGGCCTCCAACGTCGGACACTTGAGGCAGGGAGGGAGGCCCGACCAGGCTCAAAGATGCCCAGATCGCTAATGTCCTCACATGTACGTCGTAGCAAAAGGTCTACGTAGGAAGCTGCAGAGAGGCCAGGACTGCCGCGGGTGCCGATGAAAGTGCTTGGAAATCGACCTGGATATTCGACTTTAGGATGCCACGGCAAACCCCGGGAAGACCGCATTTGGCAACCGTCGTCAAAGGCCCCGTTTCTGATCACGATTCACCAGCCGCGATGTAGATGGGGCTGCAATGGGGCTGTCTTCTGGACAAGAGCCTTAGAATTCCAGACTGCGTCTTCTATATGAACAGAAGGGCGGAAGTTAGTCTGGTACCTGGCCCTCACCAGCCCGGGACGGTTAAGGCGTTGTCAAGCCACGGATGCTCAGGTGAGCTAGCCTTGTCTCTGCCCGGTCTGAGTCGCTTGATTTTGTATGTCAGCAGAAACTTCACGGAGTATGTGCTGCGACCGTCACGCAGTGCTAGCGAACGTACTCGACGGCCGTCTTTGTGGCTTCCGTGAAGGACGTCTACAAGATATGCCATTAACAAGCCCGGCAACTGTGTGCTCTCTTACCCCCACCAGTATCCTTGCGGTGCCCCTATTTGCTTGTTTTCCAAGCTATAACTATGACTGAGGACTGCCAGCAAGAGGCGAATCGGCTGACTCCACGCTGGCACTGGTCTGCGGCAGGGTATATATTACTGGCTTCGTGGGCCAGAGACCCGCAAGTGCCTCAACACAGAAGGACTAGCTGCAATGTCAACATGAATTATTCCTTCTTGGACGATGGCGTCTAGGCGGACATTCTGCAGCTCTCGCTTCTGGTGGCTCCTACGCTACACGACCATCCCATCTGCCTCTATAGGACTACCTACTAGATGCTCCGAGATAAATTCCGCGCCGTTTTTCTGCGTCAGAATAGGCGTCCGTCAGCAAACAGTAGCCAATGCTGCCGTATGGTCCTCTAGTCTGAGTGACTATAGGGGTATTCAAAGTCTGATTCACGGCCGCTTCGAGAGTTGTTTCGAACAAAGTGAAATGCGACTGAAGCGTGCGTGGACTTTGAACACCCCCGATCATGAGGGAGTAAAATCTAATTACTAGCGGTATGAAGAACACATCCGCCTCATTCCTAATGAACTATATGCACTCTATTATACCTATAGTGAGGCTCCTGCGTGCTCTCAGGGAGCAAAGATATGTCCAAAAAATCACCTGCTGGTATGCACCATGGGGCGGCCAAGAAATGCTTGTATGGGGCTGCGCTCTTCATCATAACATGCAGAAAACAAGTAGCAAAAAATTATTATAAATTAATCCTACTGTCACTACTCCATGTGCATGGGGCTATTACAGAATTGATGCAATAACACAGGAGGAGGGGGGGATTCAAAGATGGGACCGTCTACTTTGTTTCAATGTCTTGACTTTCCGGATGACTGCAGCCACTGCGCGTACAAGGCCTAATATCACATTTTTAGGAAGCTTTCCGTGGGGCTTGGCTGTTGATGTTAATTGCGACACATCATCTCTCGGCTGCTGATGTTTAGGAGAATGTGATTTGGGAGCCGATGGTGTTTTTTTCTGCGAATGCTCTTTTGAGGCCCATCTTTCTGAAAGCCCCGTTAGCGCACATATTGGGAAAGAATATTAGTCGACTTACTGCTGTTCTTTGGGAGAGCGAAAGCTTGCCCTGACGGATGTGGCCTCCTCGAGTTTTGGCTCCTGACGACCTCTGACTCATAGGGATTTGGCCGTCTGCTAGACTTGATTAACGAGTATAGTAGTATCCGGCTTGTGGGAACGCACCAGAATCTGGCTAGGGCGTGGTTGTATAGATAGGTGTCAGCTGGACTCCGGAGACATAAACCGACTGTGAAGAGAGGGCGAGTTAGCTTACCAAGACGTGGGGGACGCGAACTGGAACCCGTCTGGAGACACTGGATACTGGATCCAGCAACTCCCAGCGCCGTCCAGCACGTCCGGCACGTCCGGACAAGGCCTTGCCAAGTGTCGGTATCTTTCCGGGTTAATTACCCAGATGACGCAGCTTTCGATTCAATACTACCCAAATCGAGTAGATTTGTCACAATCTTGCGCGCGTCGTGGCGGGCAGCGTGCGTAAGAAGTGAACAGTGGCAACTGGAAGCTTTGTAGCGCCACGACACGCTGATGAATCGCACGGAAGCGGTTGATGTTGAGGGTTTGCCCATAAACTTGAATCACTATGTGTGACGCCTGTTCAACCTTTGACTGCCAGAGGCCGATGGAGACGCTCGGCGGCGACATACTGACCTCCTCGCAAGATTGGAGAATGCCACAGCTAAATGACACGGTCTACCCTATCTTCTGTGAGCTCAATTGTCTTGCTCTCGCTCAAGAGTCCAGGTCGCCGTGAAGCCGCTCGATGGAGAGAGGCCGGCTGCTGCTGCAATGACGACAGAAGGGGCTGAGGACAATATATTCTCGAGAGGAAGTGTATATTTGTGTTCAACTAAGTACGAAGGAATGATAGGCGTGGCATGAGCGAGGAAACCGATAGGTCTGGACCAGTGTCCGTACCAAAGTCCAGCCATCAGGCCGGACCGGGGGAAAAACCGTACTAATTTGGGCTCGTCGCGCGAATTTTGTCCGCACTTAAAGGCCAAAACCGGTCCCAGGGAATGCCAACGGTATTCGCTGCGTGCCACACCTGTCCACCATCCGCAGTCTGAGTCGTTCGGCGACATGACGGCTGCTGGGGCCCTGGGGTCTTAACGATCCTCTGCTGAGATATTGAATTTATATGACATAAGCACAAATACAATGGTAATATGAATCGTGGAGAAGTCGTCAGCCTATTCGTCTAAGAGTACTTTTCAATTATTGTCCTAGAATTATACTAAGTCCACGATAGGGAAACGAGTGGTATATGACGACTCTGGCGTCGCTGGTATCAACGCGTGTCCATCAAAAAAATGATGCAAGCGCAAACTCTGCCTAGCTCTCCATGAAGCAGCGCCGATAGGACAGGTTGAACTGACTGCTCGTGTCTAGTACGAGGCCTTATCGGCACCATACTTGGTGTCACGAGCCTCGCGTTCCTGGCGGTACTGGCGGGGAAGGAAGAGCATGCCAGCAAGGTATGCCGTGCAGACGAGCTAGAGAGGTCGCGTAAGCGTTCGCCCGGGGGCAGATGCAGAACAGGGATACGCACCACGAGCCAGACGATCCAGACAATGTTGGCGGCATTGTTGAGTGGGCCACGGCCGGTGTACAGCGGCCATTCGACACGGAAGCCTGTGCGAACCTTGGGTAGCAGACGTTAGCGAGTCGTCGGAGCGCACGCACACTGCAGCTACTGACCTGGTAGAATGCGATGCCGATGAGGAAGATGCCGAACACCGCGTGGAAGTAATTGTGGATCGGGCGGCCTAGGATGGGAAGGAAGCGGGCCTTGACGAAGTGTACGAGGGCCCCAACCAAGAGCTGGAAGATATAGAGCACAAAGATGGCGACGCCCCACTTCTTGTGCGTGTCGTTCAGGCTCGGGCCCCCCATGAGGTTCACGGCGCTGATGCCACAGGCGAGGCCGGCGACAATGATAGGCAAAGCTGTCGGCGCGCATGGTCAGCAGGGACGGCAGGCAAAACGCGGTGCAACTCACCAAGGACCCACTGTATGATCCAGTGCAGCCTGAACCAGAACGGGCTAAACGTGCGCAGGTACCGCGCGATGATGGCACCGAGAGGTAGCAAGAACAAGAAACCGATGGTCATGAGAATGCCATGCGCGACGATATGCTTCTCGTACGGCAGCAACGGCGGCTGGCTGAAAAGCTCCACTGAGTCCATGCTAATTGTCTTCGTAAAGTCGAGTTGAGGTGCTGAACAAGAAGCGCTTCAACAGCGGCGTCGTCTGGGCTTAAGTTTGAGAAAGCGGGGACGATGTTCCTGTCGCTATTTGAGTCTCTCGGGGTGGTGAAGCTGTTCTGGGCTGCTCCTCGAGACGGTGGCAAGTAGCTGTTATGGGACGCTAACGTGGGGGGTTTTGGGGCGCATTGGTTGCCCATGATTTATACGTGTGAACGCAGGGAGGCTGCTGCGGTCTGTGCAGCCATCACACGCCACGGCGCAACGAGTGTGTGAGTGTGCCCAAATGCGGCCGTCGACTCCCTCGATCAGACCAAAGGCGTTCCGGGAACGGTAACTGTCGTGGTTCGCCGGAGAGCCGTGGGTGAAACACTGCTTATCCGAGGGGAATCACGGTTGCCGAGCACAGCCACATACGCGTTTCTCCATAGCGCTCATTACTGCGGAATGCTGCTTGTCCTACAATTTCAAACGTGGATTCGGTCAGGTCAGTAACATCTCCCGCACTGGGGCCAAAGCCGGCACTAGCGGACGGAGTGGGAACCTCAGCAAGTAGGGCTTCCCAACTTCTCACGATTCTCGTCTCCCGCAGCTAAGAAGTACAGAGGATTTCGCCATGCGTGCATGTCTGTCAGGCATATCGACGCCGTACCACTCTATGACGTCGATCGCGGGCTCAATCGTCAGATTCCGATACCTCCAACTCTGAGACAAAACCCTGCCGCAGCACGACAAGACAACCTCGGGAAATTCGAGGCGGAGTGGACACTAGTACGATCTCGATCTTCCACCGCTGTCGTGGGTACAGATGACGGCCCAGACAGGCACGAAACTCACACTGTTAGATTGCGCAGTCCTAATCGTGCCATCGACATTACTCAACACCACTTGTAAGTCCGATCTGGGCAGTGCTTTCGGAAGTGAGTCCGTTTACGTCCAAAAGAGACGAGATGCCTGCCACTACTAACTGCGGAAAGGGTGTCGATGAGAATACACATGTAAGTCGTGCGCGTGATGCTGCACCGCAGCTGACAAACTTGATAGTGCGCCGCGGTTAGCGGCCGGGCTGCTTCCTGAGCTGTTTTTGTCGGCTCTAAGGCGAAGACCATACATCTGGGACAAATGCCTCCACTGACAAGAGGCGACATTGCTGCACAGACAGTCAGAACGGCTTTTCAGAGCGTATGCGCGAGACCATACATGCTTCGCAGCCTGAGTGCTGGAAATGACGCACGAAAGTAGCCGAATCTTTGACTCCAAGAAGGCCCATGTGCTTGAGGGGTTGAGTACTTCGGAATTGCCATACTCCATCCCGGCTGAGACGATGGTTCTAACGTTGCTCCTTGATCAATCACCACGTCATGAGAAATGCAGGACGAGGCACCAGCGCCGTTGCACCGGGGCCTTGGTGCGTTGGATACCCAGCGGTGCGGTACGCCGTCGATCGTCCGGCCCCCATGTATGGTCAAAATCGCGCACGGATGCCCCATCAAAGTCGTGCCGACGTCATGCAGTAGATCTGAGTAAGCTGCAGCACGGCAACGCAGGTGAGTGAAAATATCGATGGATGTTCCAAGCGACAAGTAGGTAGACGTACCCTCGTGTATCTTGAGGCGACATCGGCCCTCGTGGCGCAACGAAGCCTCTAAAATTGCCAGACGTTACGATGTCGCTCCGTCAAAGTACGGCGGGGGCTCAGCCAATCAGCTGGCAAGCTCGTCGTGATTGTCTGGGCCACGAATTACCTAGATGGGAACTACGTAAGCCCTCTTGTTCTACACTGCGACCAAAGATTTACTGGAATTAATCAGCGTTCGCACATGTAGCCCGGAAGAACACCGCTGGCATATATATATAGCGTCCTGCCAGTGGCTCCTTTCCAATGAGCCGCTAAAGTTTGCGTGCTTCGTGTAGATTGAGATAGCACATGAACTGCAGGTTGTTTCTGGACGCGCTTTTTACAGACACCCTCGCTGGGACATTATGGGGACAAATGAGCCGTGGGTGACCACAGAAGCGCCAGACTAAAACAGAAATGGAATGCAGCGGGGTTCACCAAGCGCTTGCCATCGACTAAGTGTTTCCGAGCCGTCCGTATCATATGCCGTCGAGTTTGAACACTGGTATCGTCGTCACTAAGCTTTTAGCTACAGGTTTTCTGGCTCTTTTATCGCAGTCCACTGCGATACGAGGCATCCTGGCGGGATACGGAGGCAGTCCGCAGTATCATATCCGGTGCACCTGTATGTTATATCCGATCGCTCGCATAGGTTTGCTAACCTTGTCTCATTTAACTCAACAAAACACGCTGTCTGCTTACAGAGAAGACGGCTAGACCTAATCGGTGGCCGACCTATATCAATAGCAATATACCAGTGATGTACGCTGGGCGGTAGACCCCTTGTGACCACTTGTTATCTGCGTTCGACTGGCTACCCGCCAACCTTACAAGAATGCTGTCTGAGCAGCCTGCTCTCTGACTCGAACGACGTTGAGCGAGTAGTACTATGGCCGCAACAGAAGATATTACTCTTCAAGAGCTCCATGTCTCGTCTCAGCACCGTCTCGAGGAGCATGCTGGCCAGGCAAACTTAGAAGACACGATGCAAGGCAAAGAACACAAGCCGAGTGAGCCGCTACACGATGAGCAAGAGGAGTGGATGCCATCGAGGAAGTATCAGACAGCTCTGCTCGCGGCTGGATTTGCGATGACTTTCCATGTCATCGGGATTAACTCCATCTACGGTATCTTCCAGGTGCGTCTCTTCCATGAATGCTTGGTACCTTTACATACGCTATATTGCAATTCATTTGTAGGAATTCTACACATCTCCAGCAACGAACATCAAAGGCACTCAAGGCCAAGACGCGTTGGTGTCACTCGTTGGAACGATAGGTACCGGTCTAACCTGGAGCGGCAGCATCTTCGTGAACCCCCTCATCACTCGTGTTAAGCACATTCAGTGGATCATGCTCTCCGGCGTCCTCATCATGAGCCTTGGCATATTCCTTGCTAGCTTCAGCACAGAGGTATGCCTTTGTTCGTCGTGTTCGAAAATGACTCATTGTCGCCTGCAGCTCTGGCATCTGTACTTGACGCAGGCGCTTGTCTACGGTGTCGGCGCCTCGCTTTACTACTTCCCCATTCTCGCGTTGACCCCAGCATATTTCGACCAGCACCGTGGCTTTGCGCTCGGGTTCATCTTGTCAGGTTCCAGCGTCGGGGGTCTCATTCTGTCTCCCGTTATGAGCGCGCTCATATCTCATCTCGGTGTCGGCTGGGCACTGAGGATCCTTGGCATTTGGAACCTCGTCGTCGGAGTACCAGTATCATTCGTTGTGAAGAAGCGGGGGAACGTATACAACTCAAGGCGCACCAGAGTGGACTTGAATGTCGCGAAGCGTGGAGCGTTCATCTGGCAGGTGCGGCCAATGTTACTCTATGCACATTTTGCGTTAAAGTGACAAATGAACATTGTACAGGCATTTGGCGCGTTCCTGCAAGCAGGCGGAAATGTGGTTCCCACGTATTTTCTCACCACCTACTCTGTATCCGTGCTCTCATACTCTTCAAGCAAGGCCTCTCTCCTATTGTCCATTAATAACGCGGTGAACAGCGTTGCACGTATAACAATGGGGATCATTGCCGACAGAGTCGGCCGGCAGAACACACTGATCGTCAGCGTGCGCGCCTTCTGCTCTGTGTTCCGGTGCTCGCGCTGACCAGTCTTCGCAGGTCATTCTATCTGCGATTTCTGTCCTGACGCTTTGGCCATTCGCGCCGCGTCCGCGCTTCATTGCCTTCATCGTCTCGTACGGTGTGCTCGCCGGCGGGTATAACGCGCTCCTGCCCACGACAATCGCCGAAGTGTACGGCGTGCAGCACTACACGAGCGTGAATGGTTTCATCTATTTCATCCGCGGCATGGGCGCGCTCTTAGGCGCGCCGCTCGCGGGCGTCATTCTTGGGAGCCACCAGCGCGGGCTCGGAACGTACACACCGAGTGGGACGTCGGCGATAGACTTGCACATGCTGAGGACGAAGTATAACCAGGTTGCGATGTATGACGGGGCAGTGCTTCTCGCAGCGGGACTCTGCGTTGCATATGTCAGGTGGTCGGACGCAAGGTACAAGGGGCGGTGGCAATGGATAGCCTGACGGGTCAAGCACACCAGGCTCCGCATCCTTCTCCAAACTGTTGAATATTCTGTTTGAAAATATTACTGTTATGATGCACAACCCGGGGCTAAAGACGTGCGCGTGATCCTTGATTTTCCGGCAGCGCGGCATGGAATAGACCGGGAATCCACCACAAGAGGCTCAAGAGTACGTATGCAACATAGTCACTGCTACTGGTCTTTCCGATGAACTGGCGACCAAAGTGACTTATAAGCGACGACTCTTCTGGGGAATTTGAAAGGACGCATCGACTGCACAAAATGCTGATATATACCTTTGGATATTTGTTGAAATTTACCTATATATTTACCAGGGGCCATCATGGTGGCAGGGTACAGGTGACAAACACATACAAAGAATATCTGGGCGATGAGATGCGTCGCGGCATGTCAAAAACGGAAATAGGGCGGGGCATTTCATCAATCAATGGCGCTTGCCATTCGGCCGCCTCGTCCGCCAACGCCATCGAGTTGAAACACCCGTTTTACTGGTCCTTAGCTCGGAGATGTATGTCTATCTCCGTTTTTACAGCATTCTGCTGCGGTGAGAGGGACATTCAAGCGGGATGCGGAGGTGGAGATTCAGTTTTTCAGGTGGGCCTGCATGTCCGCATCTTCCTTGTGGGGAGGGGTTCGCTAACACCAACGACTGTCCCAGCGTAGCATACTGCAGACTACAAAAGTATGCCGTACGAGCTCCGAAGCCGACTTGTATCGACGGCCGAAGCCTACCAATGATGCACTTTGGGCGGCAGACCCCTTGTGACCACTCGTCCTCCGCATTCGCCCGGCCCCTACCAGCCCACATTTCTGGACATCGAACAGCTTACAGCTGGACTTTCAATAACGCTACATGAATGGTACGATGTCTATGAGAGAAGAGGTAGCGCTCCAAGAGCTTCGTCGCTCGCCCGAGCACATTCACGCAGAGCATCACGGTCAGGCGGAACCTGAAGACGTTACACGAGAGGGAGAGCACCAGCCAAACGAGGCGTCGCGCGATGCGGAGGAGGAGTGGAGGCCGTCGAGGAAGTATCAGGCGGTTCTACTCACAGCCGGATTCGCGATGATCTTCCAAGTCATCGGAATCAACTCCATCTACGGTATCTTCCAGGTGCGTCTTGGAAACTGTATATTCTGCGCGCATTATACCGAAGTTCCACTCTAGGAGTTCTACACATCGCCCAATACGAACATCAAGAATGCACAAGGGCAAGACGCACTCGTGTCGCTCGTCGGAACGATAGGCACCGGTCTGACCTGGAGCGGCGGCATCTTCGTAAACCCTCTGATTGCCCGCACACAGCGCATACAATGGATAATGCTCGCTGGCGTCTGCATCATGAGCCTCGGCATATTTCTCGCCAGCTTCTGTACAGAAGTATGCGACCCGCTCCGTTTTTCCCTCATATGAGCTCATCTTCCTCATAGCTCTGGCATCTATACCTGACTCAGGCAATTCTCTATGGAACTGGTGCCTCGCTCTACTACTTCCCCATCCTTGCACTGACACCAGCATACTTTGATCGGCACCGTGGCTTCGCGCTCGGCTTTATCTTATCGGGTGCCGGAATCGGTGGTCTCATCTTGTCCCCCGTGATGAGCACGCTAATATCGCACATCGGTATTGGCTGGGCATTGAGGATTCTCGGCGTCTGGAACTTCGCGGTCGGGATCCCAGTCTCGTTCGTAGTGAAAAAGAGGGGCAACGTCTACAATTCGGGCCGCGCGAGCACGAGGGTTGACCTCAGCGTCGCGAAACGTGGAGCATTCATCTGGCAGGTATACTTGATCTCTACGCATATGGATTCTCCGCAGAACTAACAATGCGAGCCTTTTACAGGCCTTTGGCGCGTTCCTGCAAGCAGGTGGAAACGTGGTTCCCACATACTTCCTTACCACCTACTCCGTCTCCGTGCTCTCGTACTCCTCGAGCAAAGCCTCGCTCCTGCTTGCTATCAACAATGCGGTGAACAGTGTCGCACGCATAGCCATGGGAATACTCGCAGACAGGGTCGGCCGACAGAACACTCTAATAGTCAGCGTACGCACGCACGCCTCGTTCCTTCTTAATCACTCGTGCTGATCCATCTCCGCAGGTTCTGCTGTCTGCGATCTCCGTCCTCGCGCTCTGGCCGTCCGCACCTCGTCCGCGCTTCGTCGCCTTCGTCGTCTCGTACGGCGTCCTTGCCGGTGGATACAACGCCCTCCTACCCACGACAATTGCCGAAGTGTATGGCGTGCAGCACTACACCAGCGTGAACAGTGTCATCTACTTCATCCGCGGCATGGGCGCGCTCTTCGGGGCGCCGCTCGCAGGCGTCATCCTCGGGAGCCATCAGCGCGGGCTTGGCATGCATAGCGGGACGTCGATGATGGACCTGCACGCGCTGAGGACGAAGTACAACCAGGTTGCGCTGTACGACGGGGCATTGCTCCTTGCGGCCGGTCTCTGTGTCGCATATGTTAGGTGGTCGGATGCACGGTACAGAGGGCGGTGGCAGTGGAAAGCCTAAAGGGTTGTGTACTCATTACTTCATCATCTTCTGAACGCCACCCTCTCCCTTTTTTAGTATACCTTGCTTTAGAAAGTAGCTTTGGATGTACGCTGAGAATGTACAATTTGAAAGCTAAACACGTCATCCCTGGGCTGTATCCACGGCACTGGCACCCTTGATGTCAGAGGCCTAACAACGATTTGTTCAATGAGTTGCGAGCTCTCAGACCAAGCTCTGTAAAAGAATGTTTCTCTGAGCCACTTTAGTAAAGTCAGTGGTCAACGACTGGGCTTGCAGTTCGATAGGACCGAATGTTAGATTTTTGGATCATGTTTAAACGAGCTCGTGTTCGCCGGCGCCTCGTGCACGCGTTGTTTATTTGTATTTATCTTATGTTGTGCCCGTGTTCGCACCTGAGACATTCGTAGTGTAGATGAATACCCGCCGGATAGACTGCGAACGCTCGCGCGTTTGCTCCTTTCGACGATGTAGCCCACAACGGCGGCCTGCATTTTCAACACCGAAGGCGCCGGGAGAGAGGAAGATATTGAAGCTCTTGGCGTTCGAATCTGGGGTAGACCGGTGGTGATTGCCGACTTGGCCCTTGTGTAAGCGGCGACTCCCTGCCTGCTAGGCACAACTGTCGATCTGTCAAATTTGGGCGTCGTACGCGTCTCCCTCCAGCCCTTGCATGTTGTGTATGTTTTCTCCTCGGTAACACCTCTTCGCCTCGTCTTGCTACCTGACTACCACCAGCAACCATGTCCGTCCTTACTCGCCATCCGCGCTATTGCTTGCTGCTTATATGTGTCCTTCTTGGCGCATTCTTTATGCTCTCGACGCCGTCCTTCCCAGCAGGCTCTTTGCGGCCTGGATCGTCGATAAGCAAGGTCTTGGCTGACGAAGACAGGTTATATGACGAAGCATTGAAGGCAAGACAAGAGTTGGTAGAAAAATGGGGTCCTACGGACGAGGACGTAGCTTCGTACGTACACCCACCGTTGCCAGGCATGGCCCGCTGACACGTCTACAGCTTTCCTGAACCCCAGACTGGTTACTTCTACACTCTTTGTGAGTACCTGCGCTGCATTATCGCACGAGTCGTTCTGATGCACCATCAGGGGACTTTTTTCTCCCAGTATTCCGCTGCCCACACCTCGTTCAGCGTGTCGGCACTCTTGGCGACGGCGGCAAGTGGGTTTGCGGCCTAGACCGCATTGCACGCCAGAGCAAACCCTGCACAATCTACTCGTTCGGCATCAACGGCGAGTCTTCCTTCGAGGCTGCGCTCCTCGAGGCTGCGCCGCACTGCGAGGTGTGGGGCTACGACTTCAGCGTGACGAGCTTCGGCCCCGAGATCGCCAACGTCTCTGCGCTCGACGCTCGAGGACACTTCTTCTCGTACGCCCTCAGCGGCGACGATGCGCCGCACGCAACCCCGCCGCGCTTCACACTCCAGAGCCTCATGCAGCAGAACGGCCACGACTTCATCGACATCCTCAAGGTCGACATTGAAAGCTGGGAGTTCGAGTCGCTCGATGCCTTCGTCGACGCGTTCATCCCTTCGCCGTCCTACGAGGCCCATCACCCACATGCGGCCCCTGCCGAGCTGCCTGTGCTCCCCGTCGGCCAGCTCCAGCTCGAGATACACGCCTGGGGCCAGAACGGCGAGTTCAAGCGGTTCCGCAAATGGTGGGAGCGCCTCGAGAACGCGGGCCTCCGTCCTTTCTGGACCGAGCCCAACCTCGTTTACATCAACCTCGTCCGCGGCTCGAAGCCAGATCTTGCCGAGGTGAGCGCTTGATTCTTTGCTACTGCGACATACCCTAACGCTACTTGTCAGTATTCATTTATGAATATCCGTGGAAACCATGCTCTCGTTTCGGATCGCTACTGATCTCCTGCTTTTGCTGCATCCGGCACTGGCTGCCACTAGTTCATTCTCTCCTAGCTCCTTGGTTTAAACCGGACAGTCACCTCCTTTCTTTGTAAAGCAATTGCATCTATAAGATATCTATTTCAGCGTAATTCAAACTCGTTACCCACCTTCCTTAGCCTTTCCCGTGCGTAACGCCCTGCACGCCGAGTCTGAGTTGGCGATGTTATGTATGCCTGTGGATGCATGTGGATCAGTCGAAGTCAAGGGCTGCTACTCAAATTCTGATGTGAAATGCGGCAAGCACTTGCGGCTTGCCCTCCGCTTGTGCCGCGAAAGCCATCACCGTTCTCGGCGGCCGACAAGTTGAAATACGAAAATATCTCATCGACCTCCTGAATGTCCCAGTTTTCCTTTAGCAAGGGAATATACCGCCACTGTCCGTTGCACGCACCAGCCGACTCGTTATGGTGCCGTACTGGACGAGAAACTCTTATATGCAGCCAATAACGATGCCATGCACGCAGCGGCGGTGGCAGGGAAGGGGGCAGGATTGCGCAAGTTGGACAGTCCCGGTCCTATTGCCCGGTGGACTAACCATAATTCCTGGCATTCTGCTATGCGATGAGTGATTTAATTGGACCCAACAGATCTTCAGGTAGGATGGAAAAGTGCCTTTAAAGCAGTGTACCCCTATGCTGATCCACAGAGACGACGGCAAAGCAGCCTTCGCACGTCCAAGTTCCTCTTTGCAACTTATCCCACTACAGACTAAGTTATCATCTTGTTTTTTTGCCCTCAAAATCGCTGAACATCCGGAAATCTGCGAAGCTGAATGTTGGCAACTCACATTCTGGACGTCGAAGTCTTGTCCAGCCAAACTACGAGATTGCGAATCTAATAAGCTACATGGCAACCTCAAGTCTTTCCGTATTGCAATAAGTGGTACATGGTTTATCACGCCTTCCATTGCCACCGTCCTCTGTATCGCGCATCCGACCATCTGACATACACGATGCAGAGCCCTGCCACAAAGAGTACCGCCCCATCATAGAATGCAACCTGGTTGTATTTCGTCCTCAGTATGTGCAAGTCCGTCATCGACGTTGTACTGGATGAGTATACGCCAAACCCGCGCTGGTGGCTCCCGAGGATGACGCCTGCGAGTGGTGCTCCGAAGAGTGCGCCCAAGCCGCGGATGAAGTAGATGATGCTGTTCACACTCGTGTAGTGCTGCACGCCATACACCTCGGCAATCGTTGCGGGCAGGAGACCGTTGTATCCGCCCGCGAGGATGACGTAGGAGATGACGAAGGCAATGAAACGTGGGCGCGGCGCTGACGGCCAGAGCGCGAGGACGGAGATCGCAGATAGCAGAACCTGCGAGGATCAGTCAACACGAGCACTTAGTTAGGAGGCAAGACGTGCGTACGCTGGCAATTAACATGTTTTGCCGGCCGAATCTATCCGCGAGGATTCCCATAGCTATGCGCGCGACACTGCTCACTGCGTTGCTTATCGCAAGAAGCGTTGAGGCGCTATTGGAAGAATACGACAGCACAGAGACAGAGTAGGTAGTGAGGAAGTACGTGGGAACCACGTTGCCGCCTGCTTGCAGGAACGCGCCAAACGCCTGTTCAATGCTTGTTACCTTCGTGCAAGATGCATGCAGAGTGAGAATAGCCGTACCTGCCAAATGAATGCTCCACGCCTTGCGACGCTCAGGCTCACTCTGCTGCTGCCGCTTCCTGGCCCGTAGAAGTTTCCCCGCTTCTTCACAACGAGTGATACAGGCACTCCGGCCACAAGGTTCCAAACGCCGAGGATCCTCAGTGCCCAGCCGATGCCAACGTGTGATATAAGTGCGCTTATGGAAAAAGACAAGATAAGGCCTCCGATGCTGGCACCCGACAGGATGAAACCAAGTGCGAAGCCACGATGCTGGTCGAAGTATACTGGTGTCAGCGCAAGGATGGGGAAGTAGTAAAGCGAGGCGCCGATCCCGTAGAGGAGTCCTTGTGTCAAGTACAGATGCCAAAGCTGCAGGGACGATGAGCCATCGTCGGATGCGACGCGGCAGGACGTACCTCCGTGCTGAAGCTGGCGAGGAATATGCCGAGGCTCATGATGAAGACGCCAGCGAGCATGATCCATTGGACATGCTTTACACGAGCGATCAGAGGGTTCACGTAGATGCTGCCGCTCCAGGTTAGACAGGTGCCAATCGTCCCGACGAGCGACACCAGCGCGTCTTGGCCCTGTGCATTCTTGATATTGCTCCTGGGAGATGTGTAGAATTCCTAAAATTGAATTCTAGTACTGTGCAGTACCTGACATCCGTAGAAGACACACCTGAAAGATACCATAGATGGAGTTGAGCCCAATGACATGAAAGATCATTGTAAATCCAGCTGCGAGCAGAATCATTTGGTACCTCCTCGTCGGCCTCCAGTCTTCCTGCTCATCACTTCGCAGTTCGCTTGGCTGCTCCACTGTCTCTTGCACGACGCCTTCCAAATCTGCTTGGGCGACTTGCTCTTCGCGGCTGTGCTGGGGTGAGCAACGGAGCTCCTGAAGCGCGATCCCTTCGTTCACCGACATTGCGCCCTGCAGTCAACGCCGTTTCGAGCTGGTCTGCAACTCGCTCAGCGGATGAAAGTGTAGGTTTGCCGGGTGGCCGTGCGAATGCGGAAAACGAGTAATCACAAGGAGTCTACCACCCAGCGTGCATCATTGTATGTCTCGGCAGTCGATGCAGGTCGGCCTCGGGCTATAAGCAGCCGCGTTCTCCGCAGGCTGATAGTGCACTATGCAAGGCAAGCATCAGCAGCCTCACAAGAGCAAGACATGGATATGTGGGCGTACTCAGCTTACTCAACTCGAAACTTAGTGGCACCACCTCCGCATTAGAGCGTTGTTACAGTAGTAGAGTGGTGTAGAAGAATAAGCAAGCCTCAATATCAGAGGCTGGCGACAAGTAACAGAGCAAGTGCATATGATTTTACCTTGACGGCGCGAACGTGTTCGCTTACGGGCCACAGCAAGGCCGGATGACAAACACTTAGTGGGATTGTCATCAATCCCGCCGTTTCCTTCTGGAGCGGTGCCGACGCATCGCTTATCCCGCCGACGCATTCCATGGATTTGTCGCCGTCAACTACCAGGTGTTGTGGCCCGGCAGCGATATTTAACGTGAAGTAGGCAGTGCCGTGTCGATGTGTAGATGTTCAGTACGACCTAGGCATGCAACTCCACCGCCGTAGTAGGGTCCCCTCCTTGTGGCCTCCTGCCTTGACTTACTCTTACCACCGCATAGGCGTACCAGCTACGCATCCATATGTTGCGAAGGGAGCGTCTACCTGTGCGATATACTGCTCCCTATGTCCGGACAATATTATCTTTGCGATTTCTCTCTGGATTTCTGCCGTGTTTTCGCTTACGTAATAAAGTGCGCCGCCCAAATTGGGCAGTCCTTAATTACACGCGACCGTGTCGCTGCCGAGCTTTTGTTTGACTCGCGACGTCGATCATACCTCGCTCGTCGCTGCCTTCACCTTTCCTGCCGCCGAAGCATCTATCATTCGCGCCGCGCACAATAATGAGGAGGCCAAACAACGTCCGTGGCCCGGCTTCGGCCCTCACCGAATTCCTGAAGGTGTGTTCGCGCTCGCCCGCTGCTCTCTCGCGGTACTGGGCTCAAAATCTTGTTTGTGGGCATAGGAGTCTGGAATTACTCACACTACAATTGCGAGAAGAGCCAGAACTCGTCAAGTCGCACAGCCGGAACCCGTTGCTGGGCCCTCGAGACAACAGGCCGGAGATAATGAAGCTGGGGATGGGGACGTGGCGGAGAACGCCGAGGTGCGTGTTAGAGTATGTCTCCCATTTTGCGAGACTAAACGGCGCGCAGAACCAAGAGAGAGAATATAACTCTGATAATCTGGATGAGAGCGACAACGAGCCGAAAACCAAGAAGCGCAAGCTGACCAAGGCCGCTGAGGCAAAGTTGAAGGCACAAGCAAAGGCCAAGGCGAAGAAGAACAAGAAAAAGGGCGATGACGAAGACTACAGTGATTCCGAGGACGAAGAGGAGGACGCATACACTGCACTCTCGAAGATGTGGAAAGACCAGACAAAGCCCCCGAATGGCAGTCTCATTGAATGCGCCAAATGCGGGACAGAGTTTAGCGTAGTATGTCTAGCCTTTGCTGCAATCGACAGACCTGTCTGACGATCTTGAAGACCCAATACACTCGCCAGGCTCCAGATGGCCCCGGCTGGCTCTGTCATCCCTGCCTCAAGGCCTCCGGAGTCGACCCCTTCAAGAAGCCTGCTGCCCCGCGCAAGCGTAAGCCCCTCACCGAGAAGCGCAACGTCACCAACTTTGAGAAGCGTCGGCTGCCCAGTCTTGCAAGTACCTGCATCAAGGTCATCAGTCAGCATATAGACGACGTGGAGGCTCTTGGTGATATTGGTAGCATGAACGTAGACCAGATCGCTAAAGCTATAGCGAAGGACCGTAGTCTGTAAGTATACAGTTGGCTTCGTATCTACCATGGTGTTAAATTCATGCTAGGACCGCTGAGAATGCGACGCTATTCTACGACGTTCAGAACACTAACCTAACCCTCTATGATGCCACTAGTATGTGTTTCACCTGTGAGCAAGAGCTACGTCATTAATTTTCTCCTATAGACTTAATGCCCCCTGCGCTCTGTACGCTCGCCTCTCTGAATCCCAACCTCACTTCTCTGCGTCTCGACTTTTGTGGTCGAATGAACAACGCCGTCCTCGCCGCCTGGAACACATCACTACCATCCTTAAAGCGCATAGAGCTACTCGGTCCGTTCCTCGTACGCGCCCCTGCTTGGCAATCCTTCTTCGCCTCTCACCCAAAGCTCACGGGCTTCCTCATTAACCAATCTCCTCGCTTCGATCTCCAATGCATGGAGAGTCTCGTCGAGCACTGCACAGATCTCACCGAGCTGCGCCTGAAGGAAGTTGGGCAACTCGATGAGGACTTCCTGCCGCACATCAAGAAACTCGCAGGGCAGCTCACACATCTCGACCTGAGCGCCCCAGGCGAACCCGAGGCGCTCTCGTGCGACGCGCTCACGGATCTTGTCGCCGCCGTGGGTGCGGGCTTGCGCCACCTCGACCTCTCGGGGCATGTGCTTCTCGACGACGGGTTCCTCTTCCAAGGCATCAAGCCGCACGCGCGCTGCCTCGAGGCGCTCGTCCTCTCACACACCCCTGAGCTCACGGACGCAGGCGTCGCCGAGTTCTTCGACACCTGGTCCGCCGCGGCGCACCCGCCGAACCCGCCGCTCGTCCTGCTCGACATGAACCGTAACCACGAGCTCGCGGGCAAGGCGCTCGAGGCGCTCCTGAGACACTCAGGCAACGCCCTCGAGACGTTGAACATCAACGGGTGGAAAGCGGCGCCGGAAGACATGCTCAACATTCTCGGCAAAAAGGCGAGGCGTCTCAGGAGGGTCGACCTCGGGTGGTGTCGCGAGGTCACGGACTGGACGATTAAGGCTCTCGTCGAGCGATGCAAGAGCCTCGAAGAGGTCAAAGTGTGGGGATGTCAGCGGATAACGGCGAATTGCCCACGCAAGGTATGTTGTGTTATTGACGATAATGACCGAGGTGCTCATCTGTCTCTTTAATTTAGCGTGGCGTTGCTGTACTGGGCATCGAGACCCAAAACTTTGTTTGAGGCCAGAGCTAGAATATTTGGGCGCTACTTATATCGTTACTAGATGTCCTCAATATATGCTACTCGTTGTTATGTCATGCATTACTTGACCATTTGCTATAATGATATCGGGTCACTTATAGTGCGTGACCAAGTCGGACCTTTGCCGGATGTAATAGGTGGTAACGATATGAGCATATATGAACGTTGTAGCTGGGCTCGGACAATTGTGAGCAGCCTCGTCTATTCTTGCACATCAAAGATATCTAGTCAGAGCCTAGGATAGACGACCTGCTATGCACACGAGCTGCCGGTCCAGGGCGGGGCATGGTCCTACACGATTGTGCGTTTATCAAATTAGACCCAGCGGTTGAGATGTCGGGAGCCGTTGGTCAAGGAAGGTGTGGGAGAGACCGTTGTCCCAAATTACAAATTGACCTTGAAAGGCGCTGATCTTGAGATAGCCTAGAAGTCAGATTCTAAGGTACTTACAAGGGCCTTTTAAGGCCCTTAGAAGGCGTTTAAAGGATTTCGTTCTGCTTACAAGGTACTTAGAAGAGGGACGAAACGTCTCAAGCCCGAAATGTAATTTGGGATAGTGTACGACTACTTGTACATCTGCATCTAGACTATTTAGTTTGGCAAGAGCCCGACTGGCCAAGGCGGGCGATCATTATAGCAATGAGCGCAAGTAGCAAGAAAACGGGCAAGAGCTTATAGCCGTACCCGGCGCGGCCCTCGTCAAGTGTATGCACCGACAAAGCCTCCGGCGGCTGCCGCGAATGCCCAGCCTTAAGCGCGGGCTGCTCGCTATTATCCCATACAGCACACGTTTAACGACGTTCCAAACCTCGGGAAGTGAAGCCCTATGATAAGCGTCCATGGCGGTCCGAGCACCGGAGGCATCTTCTGGACATCGCGCCGGGATGCGTCCTGCAAGGTGTGAAATCAGTGGACCATGGCCAGCCGCTTACTCGACTTGGTGCTCACAGCACTGGGATAACTGCCGGGTCTTATGTCGCCAGTGAACTAGAAGCATCGTACTTTAATTGAAATGGTACTGTAAACCACAATTATCCCTAAAAGCGTATCGATAGCAAGTCTCAAAATTAACCACCATAAACTCAAGACGGCGCGCTCTCCGCGACTATACTAGTAACGACCGTTGAAGACTACCAGCCAGAGGTGATTAGAGCATGTTGACCACGGACGTTGAGCAATGAGTACTGGAAGAGATTAACGGCCAGGATGTCGCAAGTTAACGAAAAGCACACCTCGACTACGTCTGGCCTAGCCTGCAAATGACTGACATGCACGATGTTCGGTTCCGTCCAAAACGGTCGTAGGCCCGCTCGCTCGAAGAGGGACCACCAGCTGTAGAAATATCCGAAGCTTCCAAGGTCTCCCCATGCGTGTATCTCGATCTCGAGCTGGCCGATAGGCAACGGCGGGGCATCGGGTCCGATAAAGGGCTTGAGGAACGCTGCGAGCCCGTCGAACTCGGAGCCCTCGACGTCAATCTTAAGCACATCGATGAACTCGTGCCCGTTCTGATGCATGAGCCCCTGGACGGTGTACTCGGGTGGGCTATGGTGCGGATTATCGTGCATGCCGAGCTTGTACGGGAAGAAGTGCGTCTTCGGCGCCAGCACCGGGTTGTTCTGTACCACGGGGCCGAACATCGTCACACTGAAGTCGTAGCCCCAAACCTCGCAATGTGGCGCGCGTTGCAGCAGTGCTGCCTCCCAAGAGCTGTCGTGGTTGATGCCGAAGCTGTACACGATACACGGGTGCCGCTGCTGTGCGATCGCGTCGATACCGCATACCCACTTGCCGCCGTCGCCCAGCGCACCCAGGCGATCCACGCGGTGTGGGCAGTTAAACGCAGGGGTAAAGAAGTCCCATAGCGTGTAGGAGATATCGCCCGGCGGAAACCTGCAGAGCGTCAGCGTCCCAAAAGCACACATAATACGCAAGCGACGCACGAATCGACCTCATCCGGACTTGGACCATGGTGCTTAATAAGAGCATGCCGCTCTGCAAGGACATCTGCATAGCGCAGTTCTTCCTGTCGGATAAACTCCTCGAGAGACATCGACCCACGGAACTTGTTGGCCACATATGCACTGATTGAAAGAGGCGCTGCAGAGTGCCATGGTAGGAGGAGGAGCGTGCTGAGTGCGAGGAAGACTACGAGGAAAAGCGCATAACGCGGATGCCGATTCACATATATGACGAAGTTATTTGTTCCAAGGATGGCCATGGCTACGACGGTTCAGGGCGCAAGGGGGGAAGGCGAAGGTCAGAAACGGAGTGTCATAGTTTTATAGAGGTTTATGTTTGCGCGATAAAAATTCATTTCGGAAGAGCGGTCTGCGCTCGCCAGCGGATTGGCCACGAAAGAATTCGGCAGGTCCCGCGCGGAGGGGCTATACGATGCCTTGCCTCCCGGCGACGGCTGGCTTAGCGAGCGGCAGACTCGCCCAAAGCGCCGCAAAAAAAATTGAGTTCGCTCGCCAGACGAAATGGATGTTCAACGTTCAAGGCCGGGCATCGATTTTCGGCTTCGGGATGTTACTGGAGGTGACAGCCAGTGATGAGCTAAGTCTAAGCTGTACATATGTCATTGGTTCTAGAAGATATACTACACTCGCACCTCCAAGTCGAAGTACGAGGATTCCTACCCTTGGCAACGGCGACGTAAGATGAAGCAGGAAAGGAGCCTATCACCACGGGCGGAGGCCGATGACACAGAGGTTCGCGATGGTAAGTGACACTAGTGGGAGGGCCAGACACCGGTGTCTATTCTCATACAAGCACGCGTCAGACGGAGAGTATTGAGATGTAGGTCAACGGTGTTCCTGTCCTCTTGTTACTCACAGCGACCAGGAGCGACTACAGGACGCAGGAATTCGCTTGGGCCAACTCCGCTCTTCTCCGGCTGGAACGAATTCGAGGCCAGCGGTCTATGCATAAGTCTTCCTGTCCTCGATATACGACTTATACGAGCGACTCGCCTGCTATAGGCAAAGCGTCCTTGGTCTTGTCTTCTCCCTGCGCGCATCTCGGCAGGTGTGAACCAGATGATCAGGTGATCCGAAGACAGTCGAAGGATAAGGAGAGGCGACTATTCGACATTCAATGATTGTTGCTCGTGAATTCTCGGGCGGGGATCTCCTGTCCTTCAAGCTTTCGGGCGGAGCGCGTAACCTATACTTGCTCTGTCGCACCCATATCAAGGACAAAACGAGGCCTGAATGACGCCAGTCAGTGGAACCATCGCAGCCACACGAGACTCGGGCTGCAGGGATCCCGCACAGCAATATGTGTGGAAGGTTAGACTTCCGGCCTGCTGTGTGTAAGCGTACATAGAGACGTCTAGACAGTGAGCTTGGAGAGGATACACCCCCTGCAAAATTACGAGAATAGATGCGGCAGTTAGTCATATTATAAGGGAGAGAGTACACGGCTCTAGAAAACCAGCGAGAGGACAAAGTTCCAGAGCGCTAGAGTTTCGAGGCGTGAGAATATTGATGACAAGCGCCAATGGCAACCCCAGCCGCCGAGTGGCCGGTCAATCTCGTCGCCCGAATCGCCGCCAACGTCGTTCAGCTTGACGTCTCCCTCAAAAGAACCCAAGCGGTGCGTACCTATGCTTTTACGCTACGTGTCTGCGAAAGAACGGCGGAAAACGGCTCCGGCGTTGTGCTGGATGCGCGGCGAGAGGGCTGGATGTTGACACTTGCGCTTTCTTTGCCCAGGTCGCCCAGCATGTCATCAAAACTCCCCTCCGTTCTCGCCGCAACCGATGAAGAGATCCAGCTCCTCCTCGCGGCCCAATGTCATATCGGCACGAAGAACTGTGATAAGCAGATGGAGCCGTATGTCTGGAAGAGGAGGTCTGACGGTGCGTCCACAAGCATTCGTTCCCCTGCTTTGCGCAGAGCCAGACGAGCCATTGCACCTTCATAGGCATCCACATTCTCAACATCGGCAAGACTTGGGAGAAGCTCGTTTTCGCTGCCCGTATCATTGCTGCCGTTGAGAACCCAAACGACGTCTGTGTCATCTCTGCGCGCCCCTACGGCCACCGCGCGGTCCTCAAGTACGCTGCCAACACTGGTGCCCAGGCGATCGCGGGCCGTTTCACCCCCGGTTCCTTCACCAACTACATCACCCGCTCGTTCAAGGAGCCCCGCCTGATCGTTGTCACCGACCCGCGCGTTGACCACCAGGCGATCCGTGAGGCGTCCTACGTCAACATCCCCGTCATCGCTTTCTGTGACACTGACGCGCCCCTCAAGTTCGTTGATGTCGCTATTCCGACCAACAACAAGGCCCGTCATCCGATCGGTCTCATGTGGTGGCTCCTCTGCCGCGAGGTCCTCCGTCTCCGCGGCACCGTTCCTCGCACTACCGACGGCTGGAACATCATGGTTGATATGTTCTTCTATCGTGATCCTGAGGAGGTCGAGAAGCAGCAGCAAGAGGAGGCTCAGGCCAAGGCCGCAGCCGTTGTCGAGGAGCCCGTCACCGACTGGGCCGCAGCTTCAGCTCCTGCTGCTGGTGGCATTGATCCAACACTGGCTACCGAGGGTGGTATGTGATTCAAAATTCGCTAGAACTCGTGATTTCTCTGACTTGGAACTCAGGCCTCGACTGGTCCGCCGAGCCTACTGCGCCCGGCCCAACCGACTGGGCAGCAGAGCCCGCCGGTACCGGCTGGGGCGCTGATGCAACCGCTGCCGCTGGCACCTCCGGCTGGGAATAAGTCGTTAAGAGGTACTATCCTGCACGACTACGCGTATCCGTCGATATCGTTATGTTGCTCATTGTTTCCACCTCTACCTCACCGCAATGGCCCACTTTTTTCTCCCCGAGAATCGAGCAGTCTTATGTGCGACATGTACAAAATGCGCAACGACGGCAGTTTGATCGCAAAGGGTACGCTGCAAAAGTGATAGGCTTAACGGTAATCTTTTCCTGTCTTTAAGCGGCAGGCAGGTTGTTGTATGACATATGTTGTATACTTAGGACTTTCATCATCATCTCGGGAGTTGCCTAGTCTCTACAATCTCGACTTGTGGACGAAGCCCGCGGAATCTGAAGGTGCCATTCTTGTGTCTTCATTCCCGTCATAAGCTCTACGGTGGTGGTCCTGCTTTTACCCCGACCATTCGCCACATGACTGGTACCATCCACGGGGCGCCTTAGCGTGGTTGTTTGACTTGTTAGGCATGCTGAGTACCCGTGCTCTTGCTGTTCTTGCTACCTCGCGTAGACATCAATATGTCGGCACTGATTTTAATTTCGTCTGTGCCTCCCGTCGTGTTGGGGTCTTAGACCTTGTGCTCCTCCAGCCATGCTGCCTCTCCCTCGGGTGCCCGTGCCGAGGTCCGGTGGTAGATTTTCTTCCGCCTAATACCCTGTCGATTTCCTCCTGGTCTCTGTGTTTTCTGAGCGTGTCGGCGACGGATCCTTGCTCTCGTTTCTACTATCACTATTGTCTAAGATTATTTTGGCGAAATTCAGTACATGTTTGGCGATGTGCTGGTGGGGTTGGCCAGGGACCCTATCACGACGACCATGCGCATCCTGCGCTTCAAGCGCTGGAGCACGCTCTCGCGCAGGGACCGCGGCGGGGGAAAGCGCAACGTGCACACGCAACTGATACACCGAATGGGACGCCCTCGATCATCATCATCGATGGCTCCTTCCCTCTCCTTGCGGCGGACGCTCTATATAGTCGGTCTCGGCGAAATGCAGAGGAAGACGTTTCGCCTCTGGCCTACCACCACTTGCCTCTGTGCCCGGAAACCCCTGTAGGCCCCGGCTCCGCTTTTTGAAGAAAAGAGAGAATGCGTGCGTGCTTGTAGTGTTCGAAAGACAAAGAGCGATACTAACGACAGCGCCCATATGCAGGTCTTATCATCCGTGACGATGCAGCCGCCGTCGGCGAGTACATCGGGAACTACATTGCCAAGCGGTGCGTTCCCCCCTGCCATCCTCGCGCACGCGCTATATTCATCCATACCCAGAATTGTCGACTTCAATCCGACAGCGGAGCGGCCGTTCGTGCTTGGCCTCCCAACGGGCTCGTCGCCCATCCTGACGTATAAGCATCTCATCAAGCTCGTCAAGGCCGGCAAGCTCTCGTACGTGTGCGGTCTCTTCTTATACGCACAGTGTGCTGATGGACCTCGACAGGTTCAAGCATGTCGTTACATTCAACATGGACGAGTACGTCAAGCTGCCCGAGGACCACCCCGAGAGCTACCACACATTCATGTTCCGCGAGTTCTTCTCGCACAGTGCGTATTATTTTCGTTTTGAAAGCTTGCGTGCCGTGCTTCCTCCTACACGTCCGAGAATGCTCTGCGTCAGAAGGCGTTCTGTGGAGCATACACGAAGCTGAATCCGAGCATAATATCCTGCACATCTCTCCTTACCTCCCCAACGTGCGACTCGGCACCATCCCCCCTTCTTTAGTTTGCCTCGCTAACCGTCATGTTCTGCAGTCGATGTCTCGCCCTCGCAGGTGAACATCCTGAACGGCAACGCCAAGGACTTGATCGGGGAGTGCAACGCGTACGAAGCCAAGATCAAGAGCTACGGTGGCATCGAGCTCTTCCTCGGCGGCATCGGTGAGGACGGGCACATCGCATTCAACGAGCCCGGCTCGTCTCTCCAGTCGCGCACGCGCATCAAGACTCTCGCGTACGACACCATCCTCGCCAACGCCCGCTTCTTCGGGAACGACATCTCCAAGGTGCCCCGCATGGCCCTCACCGTCGGCGTGCAGACCGTGCTCGACAGCCGCGAGGTCGTCGTCGTCGTTACCGGTCAACGCAAGGCCCTCGCGCTCAGCCAGGCCATCGAGAACGGTGTCAACCATCTTGTGCGTGCACTGTCTCTGGACCGGATACCCTTGCTGACACACGCGATAGTGGACGCTTTCTGCGCTGCAGACCCACCCCTGGGCGCTCATTGTCGCAGACGAGGACGCGACGGCGGAGCTCAAGGTCAAAACCGTCAAATACTTCAAGTCCATCGAGCGTGTGCAGGAGGAGGTCGAGGAGATGCACGCTCGGCTGAAGGACACCCCAGCCGAGCCTGACCAGGTTGGTAGCATGGAGTGAGCGCGTCGACGCCCCACTGTTTACTCAGAAGAATACCCTTCTTTGTTCCGCTAGACACAAAATTGAACCGTACACTCTACGGAGAGGATTAACTGGGGTCGCAGGGGTGCGAAAGTGAGTCGTTGCTACCTAGAACGTGTCGATCTGGAAGGTTCTGTATAACTAGAGTGGTTTGGATTGGATAGACTTGCAATTCAATAAGTCTTTCGATGTTCATCGAGATGACGATGAACCGACTCGCCTTGGCTTTCAGAGTGGTGAACGGCTCTCAGCATTCTATGAAATATCCCCGACAACAAAACGCAATTTTCGCCGCGTCTAAGGTCGCGGTAAGCTGACAGGCCTGATCTCGCCACCTAGGATATGTCCACATGCAAGGCCAAGGACGGTCTAACGTTTCTACAGCATACACCGAGTCACAGCCTCTAAATCTACTACATAACCTTGGCAAGGGCCTGCTTCTGCTGCTGAAGAACGATGATGCTGTTGTGATTTATCCTAAGCTGCCCTCTGCGCGGATGCGACTTATGTGTCGTGCCCGCTGCAAGGGTGCTCCGAATCTCCGCGAGCTTACGCTCTCGGCACCACCACAACACCGCACGGCGCACCGCATCCAAAGTGCCATACTCGAACGCATCGAGCCCGCCGTGCTCCGCCGCGAACACGTCCGTGCGCGCGTAGTCGAAGAATATGTTCGCGGCATCAACGTAGTCGTGCGGCCCCGCATTGCTGCCCTCCGCGACGAGTCCGCCGATGTATGTCACCAGCATCTGGCCCCTTGCGCTCTGGCTGTAGAACTTCTTGTATGCAATCGTGCGCCCCTCGCGCGCCGCGCGCTCTCGCTCCCACCACGTGGATATCCATGTCTCCTGCGCCTCCTCCTCTGCATTGGGTGGGCGACAACGTCCAGGGGATATGTGGCCGCCGGCGGTGCGGCTTCCAGAACGCGCGCGGATCGGTGACGCATGCCTCGAGCTGGTCGAGTACCCGTAGCTCGTCCGCCGTGCAGTGCATAGCGCTTTCGCGGAAGGTTGACTCGAAGGTGGCGAGCTCGCGTAGCATGCCGATCGCCCGCTGGATGTGGCGTGGGTTATGGGGGCCCCAGGCGGCTTCGTACGTGGAGAGCGGGATGAAGGTGTAGCTGAAGCTGAAACCTTGCGTCGGCGAGGAGACGAAGCAGATGGAGGGAGCAGACATGACTTCGGCGGTGTATCTTGCATGCATGAGTGGTCAGTAACTATGCTAGCTTGGTTAGATGTTGGAAACATGGGTGGCCACTTAAATATCGGTGCGAGGAGCTGATAACTAGCCACTCGGATCGGCAACTGACGTCTTCGAATGAAGGCCACAGTCAATTTGTTCAATTTTTTTGGAGACTTCGAGGCCTAATTATAGCCGCGACAAGGCTGTGTAGTACAACGAAGACAAAAGAACACATTGTCAATGGTTTTTGCACCATCGGCCGAGCATACGCCAAAGCACCTGTGGCGCGAGGCACGCCACCGGTCGAGTCTTAACAGCGCAGCCTTTGCACACTGTTGTTGAATATTTCCCGGGCTTACACTTCGGCTACAATCTGCTTCCTGTCCCGTTCCGACATGCGCTCAAAATTCAGCTCCTTCCTCGCGAAGATCTGCGTGCTCGTATGCATAAGCAATGATCAAACCAAAATTTGTGAGCTGCTCACCACACCGTCCGCCTTTCTACTGACTTTGCGGATAATACCAAAAGAACCATTGCCGATGATGTCGAGGGGCTCATAGAGCGCGAGCGGGGATGACATGACAGGCACAGGTCGTGTGCAGGACAGTTCTCACGCTGTATTGGTCTTTATCTTCGTCGTGATAGTCGTCCCCGTCGTCGTGAGAAGGGTGCTCACCGCGGTCGTCGTCGATGTGGATCTCTGACACGAACTGGGCGCTACTTGGATGTGAACTCTGACGCTGAATCCTCGCGTTCTCAAGAATTGGATCACGTGAGCGTGGCTGACCCCGCATTGACAAGGACCCCGGCCGAGGCAGACCGATTCGACGCGCCCGCGTCAGAGTTGACCTTGTCTTTGTCTCATATGAACAAAATTGCAACCAAATACCATGGTAATATCCACATCAGTGGCTCATCTTCACGTCATTATGTATCTCCTTGTTACTGCAGCGACAACGGCTAAGATCTGGCATGACACCGCCATAGGAACAGACCTGTGGCCAACAGGAGGGGGTATTACCCGCGCGAAATTGTTAGGGCCGGCAGACTTCAAAGCTTCACCCCCTCCCCTTCATGGTCATTTCCCTACTTGGTGACTACAAGCAGCTTGAATGTGGCGAAGCGCAGTGGGGCAAATGCAACCCAAGCTTCGTCAGGACTAGCAAAACCCTATGAACTTTGACAGTGATCGATACCCCCTGGATATTGCACACTCTGTGCACTGTCTCGTGTGCAGTAATTGTTACTGAATAATGCCGCCATTTTCTCATGCTGCTCATACTCTTCCACAGATGGGTGCCGCCTTTTGTGGGAGCGCCTGACGAAAAGTACTCTCGCCGCTCTCGGTAACCTTTCAATCAGACACCTCATTGTCACCATAAAAACGAACGACGTTTCTTCCTTGTCGTTTATGCTATGACCTTCCAAGCCCTCAAGCTAGCTTCAAGAAATATCTTGAAGGATTTGCACCATGAGAATATAGTACGGTATCATGACCGCTACGTTGACCGCGATGCGGGCATCCTCTACATCCTCATGGAGTATTGCGGCGGCGGCGACCTCTCGAGCATCATCAAGCAGGCTCAACGACACCAACGCCCCATCCCGGAAGATACTGTCTGGAACTACTTCATGCAGCTCTGTCTCGCGCTGAGCTACTGCCATCATCCGAACGGACAAGGGCAGGGACGTTTGAGCGGGGGACCCGACAGTGCTGACGAAAAGGGAAAACGCGCGCAAATTTTGCACCGGGATTTGAAGCCGGATAATGGTGCGTTTTCCGCATAAAAGTGTCAAAGACGCTTATGAAATATGCTGTGTCGCATACACGCAGTGTTCCTCGATGAGAACAACTGTGTCAAACTTGGCGATTTTGGCCTGTCCAAGGCTCTTTCTCAAGCGAGTTTTGCGCAAACATATGTCGGAACGCCCTATTACATGTCCCCTGAGCTCATGCAAGAGAAAGCGTACGACTCTAAGTCTGATATCTGGTCTCTCGGCTGTCTCATCTTCGAACTCTGCGCACTCAAACCGCCGTTCGCGGAAGCGAAGACCCATGCCGAGCTGAGCATACTCATCCGGAACGGCCGCATCCCGCCTCTACCCAAGGGCTACAGCCCCGCTCTCTCAAGTGTCATCAAAGCCATGCTGAACCTCAATCCCGCGATGCGGCCAAGCGCTGCGCAACTGCTGCAGCACGAGAGGCTAGATCTCGCGTTCAAGGTCGCAGAGACGCAGAAGATGTACGTAGGAGCTTCACTCCAACGAGTCAGAGCTGACCAACCACAGGTTGAACGCTGTTAAGGTGCACAAGACAAACGTCGTCGCGCGCGAACGAGATATCGCAGCGCGAGAGGCAACGCTTGTCGAAAAGGAGAACACGCTGACATCGTTAGTCGCGGTGAAGGACGCCGAAATTACATCGCTTCGTGCACTGCTAGCGACGGCAGAGGAGAGTCATCAAGCGAAAATCCGTGAAGCTCTGCTTAAGCGCGAGGAGGAGCTCCGCGCGATGGTGCTCAAACACGAGGCGGACGTTGCAATGCGCATGGCCCGCCGCGAAGAAGAAATCATGGAGTCTGTCCGGCGGCGCGAGGAAGAGATTGCGAAGATGTGGGCTGACTGGGAGCGCGAGACGCGGGAGGGTATGGCGCGCGCTGTTGAGGAACGCATGGCCTGGGTCGAGACGCAGACCGCCGAGCTCGAGAAGGAGCGCGACCGCTTGCTAAGCGCACACACGGAACTTGAGCGCCGCTGCGAGCAGGCTGAGAAAGAGCTCGCCGCGAGTCGTCGCGAGGGCAAGACCCCGCTTGAGAGCGTCAAGAATCTGATGCGCCAGCCATTGTGGGACGAGGAGACCGTGCAGCAGACGCCGTTGAAAAGCAAGCCTCCTATCTTCGAGACACCCATACGCGCAAACACTGCGGATTTCAGCCCACCAAGTGCGATGAAGGGTGTTGTACTCACAGCGACGGGCCAACACCTTGCCACGCCGAGCCCTGCCGAGTTTGCGAAACTTTTTATGGAGACCCCCAAGGTCTCACTCAACTTCGCGCAGATCTTTGACTTCGAGAGCGATACGGACGACTACGATGCTGAGGGATACGAGACGGATACACACGTTTTGCAGAGTCTTGCTGCGACCATTCGAGGACGGAAGCGTGCACAGATGCATGATAGCGAGCCCGACGAAGACGATGAGGACGAGGACGTTGAACGCACACCCAAGCAAGCTGTGCAACCTCTGGTCAAGCCTACAGGGCTCCGGCGACCGTCGATACGCGCGTCGAGCTCGCGGTCTCCGATTATCGAGTCGATATCGGCACCGTCAATTCCTTCATCATCGTCACGTCCGTCATCCCGTCCATCATCCCGCGCAAGCTCATCCTCAGCAACCTCGACGGTATCATCATCTACAGTGACAGCGCGTACCAGATCACGAGCACGCCCTGCTACAGGCGCAGGAACACGCTCGACAGGCTTTGTGCCCTCGCGCGAGACGCCCGAGTACGACATATCAGACGAAGAGAATTTGCCGAGTCCATTCCTGAAGAAGATCGACCGCGAGCGGATAGCACGTACCGCATCTGTACCTGCACTGCAACATACCATGAAGTCTGACGCACATGTTGCCTCTGCGCTTCCACGCACGCGGACAGCGAACGCACGCAAGAGCGGCCCAAGCACACTACGCGCTGTCGCCGTTGTCAACGCCGCGCAGGCTGTGAATGGGCACGGAACTACAACCAACCGCAGTGCAGGCAACGCAGGCGCACGCGCCCCGAGTCGCACAGCGAGTGCGGCGCCGACAGTGCATGCGGGAGTACGGACGAGTATACAGAAGGCTCGAAACGCCAGCGAGGATGCGAGGAAAGCTCTTGCGTTCCGAGCGTAGTGATTTCCTTTGTCTTTTCCGCATCTACTTCGAGGATAGACTCAACGGATGACATCAGCCAGCGTTATTTACCTTAACAGTATTTTCCTTCTCGTCGCGGCTTTGGTTATTTCGTCCGCACGTGCTGTTGATTAAGCTCCCAGCTCTTGCGACACCTCCCCCCACTCTGGATACTGCCAACGTCATTCGGTTCTGCCACCACCCTGCATTGTTCGCCGTCATATTGCATCCGCTCATCGGATGTCTATCCATGCAAACGCACATAAATTCTTAAGGATATATACCCCCCTTCCCCCTCCCCTTCGATTGTATCATTTTATAATGCAACTACTGCGACATGACGTTCTGCCTTGAGCTTTGGGCACTTGTTTGGTGGGGATTGATTTGTGAGTAGTAAGTGTGCTCTTGGTGGGTGTCTGGGCTTTACGTTTGGCAATATGGTAGGGAAACTCAGGCTATATGAAGGTATGTATTCGACAGCGTCTCGTCTCTTTAACGCTAATGATTCATTTACACTATGGGCTAGCCTCGGGAGGATTCTGAGTAGCAGTGCCCTTTTGAGGACCATCCTGGTTATTACGAGCTACCGCTGGGTCCCGCCCGGGGCATCAGCCGAAGGCCGGGTCTAACCGGAGCTGAACTTCGCCAGGAGGCATGACCACCAGAAAACGTGGTGCTCTCTGCTGCTGCACCACGAAACTCATACATACGCTCCGGCGGAGCGGCGGGCTATCGGCACTCGAGAGGGTTCGTTTACACCAACGCTCGAACTTTCAGGTAGAATCCAACGCAAGGGATAGTATTGCTAGACGGATGGCCAGCTTTTTTACAGGGAGCCGGCAAAAGTCTGCGCCGGCGGTTCACTAGCCTCACGAAGAAGAAGAATCAGATACATGTCAATATTTGTCACTGCCCATTTGCCGGCACGGTCGACTTGTATACAGCACGGAATCAGACTATGCGAGCTCTGACAAAGGAGTAAGCTGAGCCATCGGTTTCCAGGAACGGTGTCGTACGTTAAATTTTATCAATGTAAGGACAAAGACACGTTGTCTCACACGAGATCTTAAGGTGTATCGACCTTTGTATCTTTGGTCCTCCTGCCCACATGGTGGCCGTTGTCCCCCGTTGAAAGTGGAGTCATTCAATGCACTACCTGATTACTATCTGTAGCACGTCTTCGCTCAATGCATCCAGTGCGACGCCTGGGCCACAGAGCGAGGTGTTGCATGTGGCCTCAATGCTTGGTATGCAGGAAGGCTATTAGTTTTCGGAGGTACAAGTATCTTGCGTTTGGAGGGTTAGCCTTCACCCATCAATATTCCTGCTACAGTCGAACCGTCATCTAAGCCATGCCTTCTTCGATATCATACAATCTAGTCCCTCTAACGACCTACCGAGCCAGGTGGGGCAACTTCAACCTCAAGAACGCTGTCACCATAGTGTGCGAACTCGCGCTGAACAACCCTGAATTTCACGTCAAAGCCTTCGCTCCCACATTCGGCGAGCAGCAGGTTCTCCGCCACCTTGGCACCTGCGCGAGCGGCGACAAGGCGCACTGGATGCCCAGTAGGCGTCCTCAGTCGCCCGCCGACCGAGCGGAGTTCGAGGATCCTGGCGACAACTTCGAGCTCTGGGATTGCTGCCGGCTCATTCGGGAGGGCGCTCTCGTTAACGGCCTGCCCATCCAGTACGAAAAGTTTTTCTACGACACTGGACTCCGAGACCCCGTCCAGATCGTGTACACCGCAGAGCTCGGAAGCCGCGGGCCCTTCCCGCGTGATGAGCTCGACGCCGTCAACGCCTGGTTCGACTATATTTGCACTGATCAGTTCGCTCAGGAACATGGCCCGCTAGACAAGTTCGAGTATAGCACCTTCAGGCTGCTGAAGCGCAACGTTCAGTTCTGGTGCATGGAGAAGGCAGGCTGGAGTCCGAAGACTATGCTGTCCTTTATTGGCTTTGATAGATCGTCACCCACATTGTCCTGAGAATTTTATTTCTTCCAGATTTTTGTGCCATCTCTGCATTTGGAACTTCGCATGTCAATAGTCTAACAATACACCATTCCTCGCTCATAACTAGAAGCAAAACGTAAATGACCCATACCTTGGACCTTAAGATCACTGCTTCACGACCGAACTGACTTCTCGATGAGATGAACTTGAATACCCTTCAAATTTCCTTCGGGACACTGCTCCCGTAGCAAGCCTTTCAAAATAATCTAAGCGGGACGTAGAACGGATTGAATCACGACCTCGCCATGCTGGCATAATGCATCCTTGATGGCTGTACACAGCCTTAGTAGTACCAATCAATGATGGCGAAGAGTAGAGAACGTCGCATATGCATAAAGCATAAGAAAAAGCTATACCATAGCTCATCAAAGTTCGTGAACGTCATGAAGCAACGAAGGTACGGTACTAGTGGATATATGGTATGGCAAACAAAGAAGCATTCAGAATACAAGTGAGAGTTAGCGACGAATACAAACATGCAATGTAAAAATATGATAATGCGAGTTGAGATACCGAAAATGGACAAAGTCCTTGGTGGGAATAAAATGAGTCCCGCGTTTGCTCATCCCATAAGCTTAAACTGCACGACCGTCCGCAGGCCAGGGAAGTATTTGTGCGAACGATCCCAGAGGATAGAAATGCGAAGCTCGCCTTGCATACGCTTCGCGAAGACATCGAAAACCTGATCATCCGCCTGGCTTCCGTCGACAGGTCCCCGCTTGGCTGCGACGTCATTCTTGAATTTCTCGACTTCAAGCGCCACGTCGGGAGAAGTTGCTGGAGCGGGCACGTCCTTGCGCATGAGGGGCAGAGGCAGGAGCACTTCGTGTTCACATGCGTACTGGCCAATGATTGCCCCGTCTGGCCGAATGTCGTAACCCGCGAGCTCAAATACAATGCCGAGCGTACGTCCGGCTTCCTCTTGCACAAGCTGGATCCGCGAGGCGACCTCGCCACCCGCCGGATCTGCGATGATCGAGAACTCGCCGTCGAAAGAGAAAAAAGCCGGTTGAGCGTCTACTAGCGCTGCTCCCGGAGACGGAACTTGTGCCAGCTGTCGCACTTTGAATTGCATATAGTGCGTTGTCGCCGTCACGAAGCTGAGCAGCCGAGTGCGCAGCGCGTCGAGCATCGCTGGTAATGTCTGGTACAACGGGCCGCGCACCACGTTATCGGGCACGATCTGTAAAAACAAGGTCAGACCGGTATCCGTAAATTAGATAGAGGAAAGGCGCTTACAACGCTGGTTGCAACCCTCGCACACCTCTGCGCCTCGACGCTTGCAATGGTCGCGCCCTTGAATGTTAGTTTAAGTCTCTTGAATGGCACCTTGTTCTTCTGATGCTCAGGCCGCGCAGGCAGCTCCAGATCCTCATCATCCTCGTCCGACGCCAGCCCGACCTCGCCGTACCTCCGCTTCCTGCTCTGCCTCCGCGTGCGCGTACGGCACGCTTCACACATCTTCCAGCGGTATAGCGCTTCAGGTGGGAGCAGTGCCTTGCATGTCCGGATTGCACACACCCTCTCGAGGTCAACTCCGACGTTGGCATCGTCTCCGTGCGCGAAAACGGGGCTCCCTTGGCGCCGCTCGCGCGACCGGTCCCGAAGGCGCAGCCGGCAGGTATGGCACATCTTCCACTTCGAACAGGCTGCGAGTAGGTTGTGGCACTTGCTCCGCACACAGACGAAGCCCTTCGGCCCTGGCAGGTACGAACCACCTTTCTCGGCAGCGCTCCGCCCACGCATGACCTGTGTAGGCTCCGCGTCGGAATCATTAGAATTATCGTCGGATGACTCGAGTGGTGTCAGCTCTGAAAGATCGCTTTCCCATAAGTTCTCGTTATCTTCTTTGCGAGAATAATGTGGAGCATGAGGCGTCGGAGGAGTTAACAATGATATTGAAGCAAGAGGCAGCTCCGGTGACGAGGATGGCGAGAGTGGGGACAGTGGAATGGATGCTTTGTCAATATCAGGCAACGTAGCACGAGGCGAAGACAAGTTAGGGGAAACGCGAGTCGCGGTAACCGGTGAGCTTTGGCGCGACGACGGCGGTGGCGTCGGCAATACAGACTGCCCCGACGTTTTGGTCTTCTCCCGCTTGCCGTCTCGCTGGCCCATGGCAGGCACAGCTGACGGCTCGCTCGCGCGCCTGCTCCTGTCTCCCGTCTTGCCAGTCCAGCCTTGCACTTCCCAGACGTGAGGCTCAGACTGGCGCCTGCTTACGTCCTTCGTCTCAACCACAGGAGTCCACCTCAGAGGCTCGGATGGAGATAATGTCTTTGGTTCCTTGTTGCTAAGGCATTTCGTGCAAAAGACCCAGGGATGGCTGGGGTCGAGCACAACAGTGCAATCCTGACGACGACATGAGCGTAAGACCGTAGTAGCCGGCGAAAAAGCCGTCGCCGCATGTGCCGCGGGGGGTGCGGGCGCCACCTGGGGGTCGTTGGGGGGTGATCGTGAGGGAAGACGGAGAGTGAGTCGGGGCCGCTCAAGTGCGCCATGGTTAGCGACGTTGGAAGATTCGGGAAAAATATCAGCCGCAATAAAAGGAGGTGAGACACCAGCAATCGAGGTGGAAGTAACAGAACGATGTGGTAGAGGCTGGAATGTAAATGGCGTTGGCAGCATGTTCACATTCGCCCGTGCCTTCATTAGCTGTCTCCGCAAGGAAAGAGGCACTTCTTCGGGCGATGATGGCTCGATAGCGTTAGAGGACAACGGTGAATAATTACTGTGAGGTGAGACTGCATCTTTGGATATCTTGAAAGGCGAAGGTGTAGGTGGAACGATGTATTCGCCGCGATCGTTGAAGTGCGGTGTCTTGCTGAGAGCCTCGATAGCTTTCTCGGTCTCCCCCCATCGCAGAAGCAGAGCTGACGGAAAACTGCGCATGTCGAACATCGACAGCGGCCTAGTGAATACCGTCGGGTGAGGTTTACTCGCGCTTTGGATCTTTACGTTTGCTTTGTGCTTCGGCACGACTTCGGCGACACCGCTTTGGCTTCGCTCCCTGCCTTTGTTGTTGTGTTTTGCGCTTTTCCGAGCCTCTCTACCTGCCATCGCTGTGCCCGCGACTGGTCTTGATGCAGCTGGCTCCTTTGGCTTGGTCGCAGCTCCGTACAGCTTCGGTAGCTTGATCGTCAGCGGCAGATCACCCTGGCCGCCTTCGTGCCTAGAAGAAACCTTTAATTCGACGAGCCGAGCGTGAGGCTGACCGCGTAGCTGACTGGCAGTATGCGGTTGGCTCAGAGGGAGGCTGGCAGATTGGCTGGGTTTTGAAGAGGGCAGACGCACTGAAGACTTCGCCGAGCTGTATGCAGCATTCATAGAGAGCATTCTGCCTTCGCAAACGGTGCATATAACGAACTGAGCGGGGTGTACCACCGGGGGAAGAACGACAGTTCGGGCGCAGATCGCGCATTTAGGTTTCTGATGTCTGTTTAATACCTCAAGAGATGTGAGGGAAGTACCCGCAGAACTCACCAGCGCGCCCTTTGCATGCACATTCAGGGTGTATCTCAATCTCTCCCTCTCCATCTCGTGGTACTTCCTCTGCTCGCAGACGAAACACAATTCCGATGGTCGTGTCGAGTCCACCGGCCACGGGCATCCTGGCGAGGAACACGCGTTATTGGTTGTTCTAAACGTGTTGAGCTTCACGCCGCCGTCGCATGCTGCAACGTTCCTCAGCGTGGTGAGCTCTGGCTCTGGTGTCGATGCGAGACTGGTGAGGCTGCTAGGAGTCGAAAGCGCGTCGTCGGCC